TATTCTTCATATTTTAAAAGTTAGAATCAAATTGGTGATTAAGGGACATCAAGCTTAGTTTCCGGCTTAGAAAATTGCATTAATCTCTCAAATTTGACACTTGATCTTCGGTAAATTCAGTTTATTTGTTTTGGATGGATTTCAATATTTTTACTTATAAAATTGAATTTAAAACAATATAGCTCATTTAATTTTTTTATAGCTTGTTATTTGATTTGATTTGCTTTTCTTTTTTATTGTACTTTGTTTATTTTTCTTTTATCATTCTTAATTTAACTCATTTTTTATTTTCAACATTTACTTTTATTATTTATAAATTTATTTCTTATTATTTCATATTATTTCTTCATTTTTTACTTCTAAAATCATAACTAATTAATTATAAATTTATTCTTCAATATTTTAAAAGTTATAATCAAATTGGTGATTAAGGTATATCAAACTTAGGTTCTGGCTTAGCAAATTGCACCAATCTCTCAAATTTGACACTTTATCTTATGTAAAAACAGTTTATTTGTTTTGGATTGTGTTATTTCTACTTATAAAATAGAATTCAAAACAATATATAGCTCTTTTAATTTCTTTATAGCTTGTTATTTAATTTGATTTGCTTTTCTTTTTTATTGGAGTTATGTTTATTTTTCTTCTATCTTTCTTAATTTAACTCATTTTTTTTATTTTCAACATTTTATTTTATCATTTATTAATTGATTTTTAAAATTTCATATTATTTCTTCATGTTTTACTTCTAAATAAATAAATAATTAATGATCAATTTATTCTTCAATATTTTAAAAGATCGAATCAAATTGGTGATTAAGGTGCATCAGGCTTAGGTACTGGCTTAGCAAATTGCACTAATCTCTCAAATTTGATACTTTATTTGGGGTATATTCAGTTTATTTGTTTTGAATTGTGATATTTTTACTTATAAATCTAATTTAAAACAATGTAGCTGCTTTAATTTGTTTATTTATGAGCTTTTTATTTGATTTGCTTTTCTTTGTTATTGTACTAGTGTTTATTTTTCTTCTATCTTTCTTGATTAATTTTCATTAACTCATTTTGTTATTTTCAATATTACTATTATTATTTATTAATTTATTTCTTATTATTATTTTTTCATATTTTTTCTTCCTTTTTTCCTACTAAATTACTACTTAATTATATATTTATTTTTCAATATTTAAAAGAATCAATTAAATTCATGCAATAGGTGCATCATGCTTAGGTTCTACTTTAGCAAATTGCTCTAATCTCTCAAATTTGGTAATTTGTCTTAGGTATATTCAGTTTATTTGTTTTGGATTGTCATATTTTTACTTAAATTGAGTTTAAAAACAA